CGTGGTTGATTACGTGACTGTTGGTCATCTGTCCATCATCGTATAAAGCCCGCCCTGACAATTTGATTGGATCGCCTGACAGTGGGCGATAATACTCGCGCTACTATGGAGCAGAGCCAGACCGAACTTCCCCGACCTCAAACTTTGTGGGTTCGGAATGGCACCCAGGCTAACGACTCAACCCTCCGTGAGTTAAACACACGTTTGGAGCTTAAAAAAGAAATTTTTCAGGAATTAGCAGGCAACGTGAGAAATGCTAACGCAACGCCAGCTCAACTTCCGGTTCCAGAGCCCGTTTCGTCACTTCCGGAGTTCCGTCCGTCACTTCCGGAGCCAGTTCCGTCCCTCACTGTTTTCTGGCTTTTATCCTCTCACAGTTATCCGGAAAGCCCGCGAGTGGAAAGAGACTCATTTTTCTCCTGAATCTAGTATAACCTGCACCTTAGAAAATTTTTTAAATGAATTCATTTTAAAATGTTCCGTTAAATCAGCTGAGTCTCATGGTCTGTCCAATATCAAACAAGGAAATAGAACCGTAGAAGAGTTTTCGATAGACTTCCGGGGCAGAGCCGCTGCTTCCGGTTGGAGTGATGCCATGCTTAAAAACATCTTCATAAACGCATTAAATAAAGAAATTAAGGACAAACTAGTAACAATAGATGAACCTGCAACCCTGGAAGAACTTATCTGCATAGCAATCTATCAAGATCACAGACTACGAGCAAGAGCCAAGCCCAGATCTAGGAATCCAGTTCAACCCAGCTCAGCCCAGTCTAGCCCAGTCCAGTCCAGCCCTGTCCAGCCCAGTCCAGCTCAGTCCTGCCCAGTATAGCTCTGTACAGCCTTGTTCAGTCCGTCTCTACGCCAGGTCAGTTTCAGCTACCACTTACTTGATCGTCAGTTAGCACCATCCTTAAATCCATTAGCACACCAGTTAGCCTTTTGTCTGAACCAGTCCACGAACCAGTTAATCCAACTCCTAAACCTGTTAGCAATCCAGCTAAACCAGCACCAGAATCCACTAGCACACCAGATAGCTTGTTGCCAGAATCAGTCTGTGAACCCATTAGCCACTTCAGAGACTTAACCTTTACCGCCATGGGCGGTTTCCTCCATGCTGGATTTGGAGCCACAGTCGGGGGGTCTCCTCTGTTCCTGATCCTGGGCCACAGTGGGTGGTCTCTGTTCCTGATTCAGGGCCACAGTCGGTGGTCTCCTTCATTCCTGATTCGGGGCCACAGTCGGTGGTCTTCTCCGTTCCTGATTCAGACCCACAGTCGCTGGTTTCTGTTCCTGACCCGGCGGGCTCCTCTGTTCCTGACCCGGAGCCACAATCGGCGGGCTCCTCTGTTCCTGATCCGGAGCCGCAATCGGCGGGCTCCTCTGTTCCTGATCCTGAACCACAGTTGGTGGTCACCTCTGAGCCTGCTCCTGAGCCACAATCTGCGGCTCCCCAAGAGCCTGTTACTGGACCACAGTCGGCGGCCTTCTCAGAGACTGTTCTTGAGCCGCAGTCGGCGGCCACCTCTGGACCTGTTTCTGAGTCGCAGTCGGCGATCCCTCCTGCTTCAGTTCCAGAGCCGCAGTCAGCGGCCACCTCGGACTCTGTTCCAGAGCTGCAGTCTGCGGCCCCCTCTGAGACTGTTGCTGAGCCGCTGAAGAGGGGATGGCGTTCCCCTTGGGGCTTCCTGTTGAAACTGGGGCGTCGTCCTCCTCCTAAGGTCCTGCAACGGCGGCTGAGACGTCGTCCTCCCCCAAAGAGTCAGCAGAAACGAAGATGTCTTCCATCTATAACCCTCCTACGTCACCTGACCCACGGCCAGCCTCCTGGAGGTCTGATTCGCCTCCAGCCCTGCGGCCGGCCTCCAGAACCTCTGCCATGCCTCCGGCCCAGCAGCGGGCCCCCTGAGACGCAACTTCGTTTCCGGCCCCGCGGTTGGCCTCCCGTACGTCAGCCTCACCTTCGGCCCCGCGGCCGGCCTCCAGAGCATCTGCCTCGCTGCCGGTCCCTCGGCCGGCCACCTGAGACTCTACTTTATAAACTCTCAGAGACTTTTGTTGTTTTCGTCCACCTTAAGTGGATCGTTTTTTGTTCGGGACTCAGTTTTTGTTTTTTGCCCTCCTTGCCTGGTTCCCCCTCCGCCCACCCTGGGTGGGTCGTTTTTTGTTTTGGACTCTGTTTTTGTTGTTTCTTGCCCTCCTTGCCCTGGTTCCCCCTCCGCCCACCCTGGGTGGGTCGTTTTTTGTTTTGGACTCTGTTTTTGTTGTTTCTTGCCCTCCTTGCCCTGGTTCCCCCTCCGCCCACCCTGGGTG